CGTGCGCCGTGCTGGCCTGAATACGTGTGCGCTGACTTGAATTCGCCCAAATAGCCTTTTGTAGGATATGACGGGGATCTATGTACGCATTTGTGTGGGAGTGTGTGGGAGTTGTGGTGACGTGTGGCGGTTTGCTGCTGACTCCGTGCTATGGGCCCAGCCACCTCAGCTAGTTTTCTGCCTCTGGTATATCGTAGCTCCCCTAGGTGGACTCAGCCGTGAACGGGTACCCGGTGCCATGTGTGAACATCACCGTTGGGAAGATAAAGGTGGCCAGGCGTGGTTGCTGATATGTATAATTTAGAGCTGGAATTTGTAGCCACATAAAGTACATAAGTTCGTTTTGTCTGATTGGTTTTACTTTGGTGACCATTGACTCACTGGTGTTGAGAGCCCGTTCTAATCACCATCAACTAAACTATTTGGTGATGTCGCATTGCCAGTGGTGGACAATTAATTTGGCCCTTAGCGTCACCGTTTATATATTTTCAATTTTAAGACGACAGTGTTTTTGACTAATGTGTTGAGGTTTCTTTCTTGTTTTAGTAATGGGTGCCTTGACCTGGATTCTAACCCAGGAACTCAACGGTTTACCAGCTCATCGCTTCGACCTCTTGAGCCATCAGGCCCACCTAAGTCACTTTGCCGTTTAAAAAATAAACTTTGTTTGACATTGCATGGTCTCAGCCAGCAGCACTGGTTGGTGGGAGGGGGTAGAGACAAAGACGGCCAGGCAAGTGTGTTGTCGACCACACCAGCCTATGTTACTTGGGCCTCAAAAGGGGCGTCCCGCTTGACAGCGCATTGCACTGATGTAGCGTGTAAAGCGATATATAGCTTTGTGTTTTAGCGTGGCGAGAGAGTGTGTGTGCCTACTGTCCCGTCTCCAGTCGCGCTGTACACGTCAAACAACCGGTTCACCTGCATTTCCCTTTTTAAAACTTCATTATTAATTTCACAACACTCTCACTCGGGCTCAGACTTTTTTCGTTTTGATGGGCAACATCCGGTGTGAATATTGTGCCTGACATCACGTTGGTGTTTCGGCGAGCGGCCGGCTCGGTGGTGTAAGCACTCTGCGCTTCGACCCCAGCAACCCGAGTTGAATTCCCGCTCACGGCCAACATCAGTAACGAATACCATCATCAGCATCACCACTGCCGCCACCATCATCATCAACGATTCTTGCTCACGACCAATAAAAGTGGTGAATAATCTTAACTGGTCCTAGGCCTTCCCTCGGTCGACTCGGCCTTAAATTACGACCTGGTGCGGTGTGTAAATATCAGCACTGGGGAGACAAAGGTGGCCGGGCGTGGTGTTGGCCATCCACCCCTTCGTGTGCAGTGTCGGCCTGGATAGGTGCTCGCTAACAGCACTTGTTCCATCAGCGTGTTAAAGGCTATACAGGGGATCTGTGACTTTGTTTTGTATATTTGTGCCTGAATTGCTTATTTTGCACATGTTTTCAATGCTGCAAGTTGCATATTTAATGTTTAAAATAATTCCATATGTATTTTAGGGAGATAATTGAACAGCTGGCTTGACCTATTGGATGATGTCTCATTCATCAACAGCCTAATTGCCATCTCAACATCATTATCGTAATCACCATGATCAGCTTCATCATCTGCATCACTACTTATCATGATCACCATCATTATCTTGAGATCATTATCATCGCCTTCATGATCTTAATACTCATCATCGGCATCATCATGAGAAGCTCCACTCAACAGCATCACCATTGTTAGTATCTTCAGGATCATTATCATCATCCGAATTAACACATTATCAGGAGCTGCACCATCATGATCATTCCCCAAGGCCTTTGTAGTTAAGGGGTCAATAAAATTCGTACCAGTTTGTAGGAAGTTAAGCATGGTTGTAGTTTGGATAGATTGAGTCCACCACCATGGGAATGTGGAATTTCCACCAAGAAACATTAGCATCAGCCCATTGCATTTTGAGCTGGGATGGTGCTTTGACTTAAGTAGAAAGTGAAAGTGGAAACGAACTGTGGAGAGTTAAAATATCTATACCATATTGCTTTTTGAGAGTCTTCAGGGTTGCGTAGGTTTGGGTCAGTCTCACGCTTTTGATGTATGCGGGCCGTGTGTTTAAATTGTGTGATTGATTTTGAGATAGATTTTTTTTCTGCAGGGACCATATTGATTATAAATCCATTAGGGGTTCCCTCGCTCTATAACTTACCTGGAAAGTGTGATTCAAAGCCCGTTAATTAAACGAAGAACAGCATCAAGATTAAATTTACAAAGATCTCTTTTTGAGTAGTGTGTGTGTGTCCACGTGTGTGTATGGGGAGCGGTGGCGGAGCAGTTAGCGCGCCGCGCTACGAATCCGGTGACCCGGGTTCGTAGCACTCGTGAGCGGGTTCATACCAACCTGGTGGCACCGAACGAACCCGGTGACCCACTCACGACCAATAACAGTGACGATCTGAACCGGTCCTGGGCCTCCCCTTGGTCGACTTAGCCTCAAATGAGTACCTGATGCGGTGTGTAAAAAAACATCACCACTGGGGAGACGAAAGGTGGTCGGACGTGGTGCTGGCCACCTACCCCTCGTGTGCTGTGCCGGTCTTCATAGGTGCTCGCTGACAGCACTTGCCCCAACATTCTGTTCAGGCTATACGGGAGATCTTTGTTTTGCGTATGCGTACATGTGGCGTGTGTATACACGTGTGGCTGCCGGGCGTGGTGATGGCCACCCCACCGCGTCGTATGCCCTGCCAGCCCTCATAGGGGCTTCTCGCCAACAGCGCTTGCCCGAAAAGCCCATTAAGGCTCTCTGCGGGGGATCTTTGTCATTGGGTTTAATGTCGGCACCCTGGACTTGCGATCCAGAGATCTCCGGTTCAGTTCCATCTCTGAGTGCGCGTTTCCTTAATCTTTCCTTCGCCCGCCCCTGAACATCCAGCATCGATGTAAATTGTTTCCACCACAGTTGGTCGATCAACAGGTGGCGTACGGTGGGGTAAAGTGTCGGTACTCCCACCTCTTCTAAGACGTCTGGCTTTCCAAGTGTTTACCATGTGCTTTTGTCACTGCTGCTGCAAGACGGCTTTCCCCGTGCTCGTGAAATATACAATGTACGCTACAGTTATTCAAGCAGAATCGTTTTAACATTATATCTTTTTTTCCCTGGCAATTTTCACTCAGCTCTGCTCTCAGTCTCACATTTTTCGAGATGTGGAAATCTCCTTCCAGAGTATTATTACATTTGAGCGGCAGCCTGGCCCAGCGGAGGCACGTTCACCGCTTGGCGCAGAGGTTTGCGGTTCGAATCCCGCCCTGGCTATTCCTTGTGGGTTTATTCTTCTTTGCAGGGGACGTTGAAGGTCCCCTGACATCATTCAAAAGGAGACAAAGCCACTGCGTCGTGGAGTCGTACGGTCCACACGTGTCAAGTTCGGAAAATCGCAGGGCAGACGACTCGGGATTTACACGTTTAAACGTCGCTCCCCACGGTGAAGCTGCTGCAGGCTGCGCCTGCGAACACAGCAGTGCCTTCCTTGGCGATAGTCCTTGCGTCATAAGAAGAGCACAAAAAACAAATGTGCTCTATAAACCATTATTCTTATCGTGTCGGGGAAACAGCTCGTGGGAGATGACGTCACAGAGCTACTTCTGTTGGTCTTTCACAAGCCACTCATCCTCACTTAATGTCCTCTGCCAAGAGTGTTTATCGTATGTCAGTCATACTGACATTTTTATTTTTTTACGTTCAAGGCCCATATGAGCTGAACTAAGTGGAAATTCTATTTTAAGTCGTGAGTTTTTTTTGTCCAGGTGTTGGCGATTGTTGCCGAGACCACTCGAGAGAGAGAGAACAAACTTTTTCCAGGGGAGATGAAACGGACTTTTGAATCCGTGATCCCAGCGTTGCCAGTTCTGTCTGTGACACGGCCATCATGAACCCCCTTCCCCAGAGCCATCTGGTAGCCCCGCACGCCAATATTTCAAAATCTGTGCCACCCTCATTCCAGGGATTTCCTCTGCTAGCTTGGTCACCGGTGGAGGAGGACACCTGCCCACCACGGTGGTTCGAGCAGGAAGACTTTTTTTTACTTTAGATTAAATCGGTCATTAAATCGTTTTAAATTGAAAATTTCATTTTTTTTAACAAACATATACGTTGGCAATTTATTATCGCTTACAGAATGATGCGTGAGGGCAGCAGTTTTGCAGTGGTTCACACACTGCGAATAATAATCCCGGCTACCTGTTGCATTCACGGCCAACGTCAGTGGCAAATAATAATGTGGGGAGCGGTAGTGCATGACAAGCCAGCAGTGGAACAACACAATATTAAGCATTACAATGCAACTCCGTCGCTGCTGCTGTATGGGTATGCTGTATATGTGCGAGTATGGGTGAGTGTATGTTAGTAGAGTGGTGGTGGTTCCCACGCTGCGCTGCGAACCCGGCGATCCAAGTTCGATTCCCTGCTCACGGCCAACATCGGAGACGAATGTCTGAACCGATCCTAGGCCGCCTCAAGCTCGACTCGGCCTTAAATGAGCACTTGGGTGCGGTGTGTAAACATCGCCACTGAGGAGACAAAGGTGGCCAGACGTGGTTCTAGCCATGCCTCCCTCTCGTGTTCTCGCAGCCGGCCACGGCGGGTGATATCTGAGCCAATCCTGTGCGGCGGCTTCACCGGCCCACTCTCGCAAGGGTGCGCAAAGCACGGCCACGTAACCTCCACGGCCCACGAGGTGGGGGCAGGCCCTCATCCAGCAGGGGATTGACAAAGGGGCTCTGCATCGACATGTACAGTTGCAACACGGGCTTGTAGGCAGGAGTCGGGAGATTGCCGTTTTGCATTAACGCAAAGTGGATTTATGTCCCAAGCTGCTCTGCCGGGAATTGCTATTTTGCTCATAACGAAAGAATCTAACCCGATAGTTCTTTTTTATTTACGCTGTCTTCCGCTCACCAAAGATTGTGACTTCCCTGTGTGTGCTTGCTGTCTAGAATGGAAACGTGGTTTCTGACGACCCAATGGGAGATGATATGCAGCTCAATCAGGTGAGTGTTTTTTTTACTCTATGTATTTGCGTTGTTCTCATGGTCCCCCCTCATCTTGACAGATCTCGGAAGCTAAGCTGGATAGAGCTTGGATAGTACTTGGTTGGAACACTGCCTGGGAATACCAGGTTTTGTAGGTTTGGTTTTCAAAGGTTACCAAAAGATGGCAGAACAGCAATAGATTATTTGAGAAGATTATATTATCTATATCCAGTCCATAATCTTTTTTTCCCTGGGTAGATAATATAATCACTGCTTTGGGGGGGGAATCAGCTGTGGTGGTGTTGTGAATGGATTTGCCCCTGTCATACCAATGTGGTATTGCCACCACTGGCACACACTTTGTTGTACGTTTACCCAGGAAGGTCTCGCCGAGTCTCAAATCTGTTGTCAGGAGGGTCCTGCACGAGGAGGCTTGGGAAAAGTTACTTTTTCTGGGAGCGCTTTGCATAACGGAGGAAACTGGAGAGCCCACAAATCCCACGAGGATGATGGAAAAAAAGCTCAAAACACTGCCACCCAGCTATTTGCTAAACTTAATTTTTAATATTTTGCATTTGGGATGAAAGCAGAGTTGCCCACAGACGACCCGCACATATGAAGTACACGTTCACAACCCGTTGACTGTACTGCCATCTCTCCTCGCCACTTCGAATGTAATGAGTGAATAACCTCTGTGGCACACTCACCGGACTGTCGGAGAGCAGCAGCGTTGTGTTTGCCAGCCTCGTTAGCGTGCCGCGCCACGAACCCGGCCACCTAAGCGTGATTCCCGCTCGCGGCCAACACCAGTGACAATTCTCTGAACCAGTTCTCGGCCTTTGCGTAAATCGAAACACCCTCAAGTTTAGTATCTGGTGCTGAGTCTAAACATCAGCACTGGGGAGACAAAGGTGGTAGCCAGGCATGGTGCTGGCCACCCACCCCCTCGTGTGCTGTGCCAACCTTCATAGGTGCTCGCGAACAGCACTTGTCCCCAACAGCCTGTCAGGCTACACGGGGATGTCTTTCGCTTTGTGTTCGACACAAGTACAGCACTTGCCGCTACGGTCCCGTAAGGTCTTGAATTCACACAAATGCAAGGGTTTCATTGTGGTAAGTGCCGTTAGCAAGGCTGGCATAGCAGTTGAGGTCGTGGTGTGGGCAGCCCCACGCTTAGCCACCTTTGTCTCTGCATTGCTGATGTTCATTAAGTGCAAGTGGCATCTGAACCTGTTCTGGGCCTCCCCTATGTCAGCTCAGCCTTAACACATGGTACATTAACGATATAGGCGCCTGGCATGTGTGGTGTATCATCCTTAATAGGTGCTTGCTAACAGTTCCTGCCTGAACGGGCGATCTTTGCCTTTTGTGCGTGTGTGTATTTTGTAAAAGCAGCTTGCGGTTGTGTTTTAACTGCCACTTCGAACAGATGCTCTGCCAGTTTCTGTGTTTCCCTGTGACCCAAGACACTGATATTGTGCGAGTTGTTTCGAATCAATCTACGGGGATGCTTGTCACCCTCTGAAGATGTTTAGGCTTTGAAACATTAACTCGCGCTTGTTGGCGATCTGATGAGACATGCACCTGAATTTCGTGAATCCCGGACTCCCGAGTACGGACACTTGTTACTAAAAACGTAATATTTGATCTATTTTATTGCAGGTGAGTGTCAGCAATTGAGGCAAGGTAGCTCAGTAAATCTATAATGGCCATATCAGAGACATTGGACCGGCACAGCTGAGATTCTGGGTTAAGCCTTGGGACTGTGTGTCAGTGGGTTCATAATGGCCGTGGCAGACGCACTGAGCCAGCGATCGCTGAGATCCTTAGCCTGAGCCATAGGGCTGGGTCTCTGTCTCTTTCTCTTACGAAGTTCATGATGACATGTCAGACATTGGACTGACCCTGTTGAAAAGCTGAGTTCAAGTCCAGGTTTCATCTGAAGTGTTGTCAGTGACTTCGATGATCTCAACCTGGTAACCAGTGACTGTGCAATTATTATCATAATCATTTATCATCCCTATGAATTAGGCAGTGGTTGTCCTGTGAGTAGACTTGCCCCCAGCATAGGAATGTGGAATTTCCACGATGAGCTGAGAATGTCCACCACTGGCTCAGGACTGCCAAGTGCAAAGCATGTTTGAGCAGGGAGGTGACATCTTGACTTTCTTGTTTGTCCCATTTTGATAACAACAAATGGAAATGTCTAAAATGCATTAAAAAGTAACACTCGTGCGATTATGCCACAGTGTTTATGTTTAATATTTGTATTTCTCAAAGCCGAAGTTTATCCAAATTCAGTGCAATTTGTGCAAGAGTTTTATTATTATTTATTTGTGCAGTCATTGTTGACCGGTGCTTGAGACCATTAACTCAGCCCCATTGAGAGCCCAGTTGTAATCGCACGCAGGCAGTGGCGCTCGCACCTGGGTCGGAACGCGGCTTCAGCTCTCTGATCTCCGGATCCAGTCGGCCCACCTCTTCCTCCATTTTGTCCAAGGCAAACATTTAGCACTTCATTTGCAGAAATGATAAATAATTGATTTTCGCATACGCACTTCAACGCGTGTGTCCTGAGCACAAGCATTGATTTTAATCTTTAGATTGTTTCATGTCTTAAGAGTCGTTCACGCTACGAGCTGCTCTGCTTCAGGTTATCATATTTCTCCGTGCGTGATTGTAAAAGCAGCCTTATCGCTTATGCATAATTCACACGGATAGCACAACTCTATTGAATGTAGCAGCAACTCGCCCGGGGTAATTGCAGTCGTTTTTCACAAGCGGCTTCCTCAAACCGACCGACTTCATTTGAATCAAACATTGGCAAAGGGGGGAGCAGCACTTGCCGCTTAGCGTGATGTATGGCTTGGCATTAAACATTAATAATGCCATCGTGGGAGTGATAGATGTGAACATATTTAATCAGTCCGTGCCGTTTCGGTGGTCGCGGCTGTCGACTCGCAATCGAAAGGTCGCGGGGTCACATCCCACTCGGAGGTCGACTCGGCCCATCGTCATCATCATCATCACCACCACCACCATCCCTTTGTGGTGGATAGATAAGTACCACTTTGTATGAGAAGATAACAGTGGGCATCCTATGGGCAGGGACTGGTCCTTTCAATGGGAATATTGAATTTCCGGAAGTGGGGAGATTTAAGAATCTCGACACCTTGTTTCCTTCCTGCTAGTCTGTTTACGGGTAAAGGCGCAGCCCTGAAACTGCTTTCTCACACCACTGTTGCTGGTAGTGCCTCTACTGTAGAAGGCTCCAGAGAGGGTCAATAAGGGGGTATTTTGGCCTCCTCTTCCATGCTGCCGGGACTTTATCCCACCGCACGCGAGCTGTCGATCGATTAACTGTGGTGAAACCCATTTACACCGCTGGGTGGACAGAGGTGGGGCAGATGAGATGAAGCAGTCGGTGTCTGGTTGACCACGAGCACTCGACCACGGGTGGAGGGATCGATGGGGTGTCATTCACGGGAACGGTAACCGTGGTAGTAGCGATAGAAGAGTGACAAGGGGGTGACTGGCTGCCGGCGAGCGGCGATCGAGTGACGATTTCGAATCGACGAGCGTTGGATCTTCAGTCCACGCTGAGGCTTTAGGTTGAATTCTTAGGGACGGCGGTCAAACGGGTAAATAAAATCCGTTTCTTATTATTCTTATTATAACTGGGAATGTCCTTGGTTAGAGGGCACCTGACCAAGGGCGCCGCATTGTCCCGAGATAACGGCGCTCGTCAGGGACACGTGGCCTGTTAAATAATTAATAAACCCACTGTCAATGCATTCCAATAACACGGACAATGCAGAGGTGCATGCCTGGGTGTTTTGGTTTGGCCTGCACTCTCTTGTTGGCATCAGATTTGGGGGGGATGGGGGGGGGCAGAAAGAAAAATCGATGCTAAGTGGAGCCGCAGACGCTGCAATTTTGTTTTATGTCTGCTGTTTTAAAGCGCGCGCTGCCTGCTGTGTGACGTACCGTTCTTACGGCTTGGATCATTAACGAAAAATAATGTCGAATGTAAAAATCATGCGGCAAGGAAGCGTGGAGATATGCACGGTTTGGAGCTACGCGAGAGACGCCAAAGAGCGACGCGCGGATAAGAGAATTTGCGGCAGGGTAAAGACGTCATCCAAACTCGAGTGATGCTTGTGGGTTCGGGCAGGACACGTCACGCCTCGAGGGGCAGATGGACGACGGGTCAAGATTGATAATTAATGAAGTTGCAGCCTAGGCGTGGAACGTGTATCAAGGAGATGGAGCGATTAAATCAGCTCACACGTAGGTGCTGGGTGGACTTTAACATTCGCAGCACCATGCTGGGTGGGCGGCAGCTTCGGGATGCCTACATCCAGCGGCAGATTAACTCATGATGACGACGATGATGACGACGATGACGATGACTCGTCTGTGTATTCGAGGGGTGTTTCTCCGAGCTACTCGAGTCGTAATTACTACGCGGTGTCAAGTCGAACCACCTCCGCTCGAACGAGCCTGGACGGCGCTCGTCCCCCGTCGGTGAAGCCGAAACCGCGGCGGCAGAAATTCCACGTTCCTGTGGTGGCGGCCGGTCGAGTTTACTTGCGCTTTAGACAGCCACATGGGTGCGAATGAAGTTTGGTTGTGTTTTCTTGCTGTTTGAAGTGGGTAATGAGTGAAAGGGAATGATGTAATATTTGCTGTTCTCCCTGTGTGTGTGTGTGGCCTTTCACGAGGACAATGTAAAGATAGGGGCAGGTTAAGTGTGCTAGCGAGCCCTGCCGGTGTGGTGTGTTTGAGCTGCTCATTAGCAGCGGATGGGCGGAATGTGCGATGCACTCTCGCTCAGTTTTACCAGATTCCACTGCTGCTCCACAAGGCTTTGTGTGATTGTACAAAGGTCCATATTGGTCAGTGCTTATCTCGAGTTGGAGTGAATGGAAGAATGAACTGCTGCAAATTATTATTAACATCGGGGTTGAAAGGAAGGTGAGGGAGGTGAGATAGAAGGGGATGGGGGAGGGTGGCGA